AAGGGCCTTATAGCCACGCGTAATTGGAGTAGGCATATCTAAGTTCAATAACTGTTGCACGTTGTGCACTTGGAATGCGAAGAAAAAATACAGGGAAAACGGTGGATGAAACTTGTCAACTGAAACAAGCGTGTCGCATGCGTGACTCATAGGAAAGACAGGGGCACTATTTATTATCAAATCTAGATCATTTCCGGCAAATTTGTTATCGTTTTAATCTGATACACTTCATTATTATAAATAAACTCAAATAGGCATCGTTTTTTCTAACCTACTACGCTAGTTCTGTCACTTTGGAATAAGTCTGCTTACCAAAGAACCTTAGGAAGATTGAATTCGCCATAAATGTGTACTTCGTAGTTCGAGAAATGAACATTGCTTTCGAGGTCTGCGAAAACTTTGTAAAAACGCGGGTTTCGAAGTTAGGAGAAAAATAATACAAGCGATGCAGAAATTCGAGCCGTCTTACGCAGGCACTTCAACCAGACATATTTTCCGTAGGTCTCAAAGTCTCTCTATCTTACTACCCGAAATAAAGATTTGCACGTGTTTATTTCTATACTTCACCTTTGAAAGTATTATTAGTCAACTGGCCCGAACAAACGGTTGTGTCCCCAAAATGAGCTTCTTCCTTGGCTTGCCTCGGTTATTACTTGGCTACCATTAGATTTTCGCGTTTTGCATCCTTTACACACCTATAGTCTTATACTTGTGTTCAATGTCAAATTTTAGTAAAACGCCTTTCATTTTTGCAATGACAATATAGCACTGAGATTCTCGGTATAAAAACGATGGATGTACTTCAGAAAGTGACATATTATTCAACTGGAATCTAAAGGAGTTGGCCCTAACTCCCCGATGAGCCACGGCGCAAGTTTTTTCAACATTCTTAACAATATGTAAAAGTGCAATTCACACAAAAATATCAAAGTTCAATAAAATTCCGAAACGCTGTGCAATTGATTTGGTAGTTGGCAGGAGATATCTTTACCGTCCACGGAATTACCAATGTTTGGCAGCCTGTTGTTCTAACAGAGAAGAAACAAGTTGTGTCAGTCAGTACGAAGATCGCCGCCCTATTGTCGTCATGCACCACGTTAGAACAGCGATCTATGATGCGTTTTTTGTGTGGTGGCGGTATTGAAAAACGGCGATATGAAAAAACAAATAGGGTACTATTGGAACATCACTTGTCGAGGAGTGTAACATTGACCGGTACTTCTTATGAAGATGTGCTAATAATAACCTTCGCCCTGAAATTAGGAGTAAACAATGACTTCTGGTAAAGCAAGACAATTCCAGGACCCCTTAGTGCTCGCTCAACGGTTGCTGCAATCCAGAATATAAAATTTGAATCACACCCACCTTATTGACCCGACCTCGCCCCTTCTGAGTTTCATGTGTTTGGATGACTCCAAAAAGACATGGGAGGCAAGCATTTGCAAAGCGATGTAGAGGTGAAAGCCAGTGCACGAGTGACTTCAGTCACAACAAAAAAATAAATCTTCTAACGAGGTAACCTTGCGCTCCTGAAGCGGTGGAATACGTGCCTTCCACGTCATGACTGCTATGTCAAAAACGATTCACGTATAATCTTTTTGTGCTCCATTTTGTGCGTCGCAATAATTAACTAAGATTTTGTATTGAATCACCCTCATATATAATAATAATAATGATAATAATAATAATTTTACTGAAAATGAACAAAACGCATGTCAAGTCAGACCTCCCTAAGCCACATGGGGCTTGACTGGCAGCGTCTTACACTCACTGAAACCTGCTGTTTGCGAAAGGAAACGTAACATAAAATCCATACAAAAAAATTAGAGTGACAGAAGCAAACTAGTGAGCACTTTACGAACTAAAATTTCTCAGGGGTTTCTTGAGCCCGTATTTTGTTCTTAAATTTATAATACTAGAATGTAGTTTGTTCATAAATGCTCGTACATAGTAACTACGAGCTCTTTTTGCAAATCTTGTCGAACATCGAGGTATCCGGTAACACTCTTTTGGTCTAACAATACGAGAAGGTACAAATAGAACTTTAAAATGACTATTCCGAAAATTCCTATGAACAACAGTTTCCATCAATAGCGAGTTAAAATCAGGCAAATGCAGTGCTTTATACACGTCAATGTCCTTACCAAGGCATAAATCATAGGAAATGTTCTTTAACTAAGAACGTAGAATCATATTAATTCCAATTTGCCAAAACAGAGCAACATCACCACAGACGGTAATGCCGTAAGAGTAAATTGTGGACTACAGCATGTACAACACTTTTTCCAACGGATAGTGGAAGAAAAAATCTCGTTTTGTATAACAAACAAAACATTGCACAAATTTTCGTACACACATGAGCAAGATGAGTGTTCCAGGTTAGGTCACTGTCAAAGAATAGGCCAAGATATTTTACAGATGAGGCATTCTGTCTATACTATAGTATATACATACTATAGTACTATGATTTCTATAGTACTATGACTATGACATTTCACAAAAAAGGGCTGTACCTGCCAATATCTTCTGTTTCCTCTCTCCATCCCACTGCATCATTATTTAATGCCCTAAGAATAAAAACAATTCAGCAAATATACGCTTTCAAACTTTTAAAAACGTATTGTAGGGCTGTTCATCAAAACAACATTTATTATATTCACTTAGCTAACCTAAAACATCGCATCTTCCTGCGCGACCTCAGGCAAAATCAGCCCTGGGTAATCCGTTCATCCCGTACAAATTACCTAATCGGACGCTTCATTACAATTTGTCCTCCATACTAAACACTCTACAAAAAGAGTATAAATTTAGAGGCACTTTCACGTAAAGGGATAGTGAATTTGATATTTTCTCTATGACTTTTTGAATACTGGCGTTGTTTTTATCCTGTGTGCTTTCTTTCTGTATTTGCTTCCCGCTCTCGTGGTTTATTGTCGGGTATTGTGTATTTCTTTTTTTGCCTCAAGTTTTCATTACACATAACATTTGTATAAGATGTGTCTACATGTATATAATATTTAGTTGTTTTCTTGTGTGTTTTCTTTTGTTTTTATTTAGCTTTTTGCTGTTTCGAACTGCACGGGGGCTGGGACCTTCGTCTAGCTGCCACCCAGCAGCTTTTTGTTCCAAGTCCAAAGTTGTCATGTAAAGAGATGTGACAACAAATAAAACTTGATTTGGTTTGATAGTATATATATATATATATATATATATATATATATATCAGTGTGTCGAACCGAAAAAAATACGGGTTCGGTTACGGTCCAGGTAAATTTATTTTGTTCCGGTTCAGTTCCGGTTCGATTAATTCGATCCGCGAACAGGTTCGCGAACCGGTTCGGGGTGCTGAACCGGTTCGCGAACCGGTTCGGGAATTATAAATGACAAATTGCAACATCAAAATAAATTACAAATAAAACACCTGAAATCAGCACATACGAAACGGGATACATCGTAGTGTAAGGCTCAGGGATTTCTACCAGGAATGGCTTCTTTATGTGCACTCAAACGTTACCTCACCGACGTTTACGCATTCGGACTTCATCTAATTGGGTCCGACGCAGTAGCTGTAAAATCCGCGACCTCCTTACAAACCCACTTACAAGTAGAACTTGCTAACTATCCCGCCACCTCGGCGTGTAAGCAATTGAAGGAACAGTTGGGAGAAAATACAGCTTTCTTTACATGAACTAGCCTTCGGTAACTCAAATTAGACCCTTAAAGAAGTTTTCATTAAACAAGATATGGAATATGAAAAACACTTCACCGAACGCAACGCCAGGAGGACGTAATAGGATAAATATTAAGATAGAAGAGTTCGCTGTCTCACGTATATGTTAGCTTCTAAGTGCCTATACGAAACCGGATGCATTATTATCAAACTCCACAGCCTTTTCTTTTCTCATTCCGATGGAAGCAAGCTTCAAGAACTCGCGCGTTCTAGAAACGTGTTATGAAATGAGCACACAGCAGCATTTAGGATTTACGAGATTGTAGGAAAATTAAATCCCGTGACGCGATTCTTTTTTTTTTTTTGCACAGTCTTCCAATTTTCTTTTTTCCGTGCAAGCCGCGACCAGCGCAACACTGGTTCCTATGTCAAGATTCATGGATGCAGCGTTTGTCAAGATTCATAGATGCAGCGTTTGTATACCTAAGACTGAGTGGAGAAGAAAAATATGTAAGCGAGGTGTGTGTCAGTTGACGGCACTTAAAAAACCAATGGCATTGATAGCACATTCATTGTCAACAGCGCGTGGCCGAACCGTTTTGACATGAGCCGGTAACCGTTATATTTTTTCCGGTTCAGTTCCGGTTCGGGTTCATCGCGATAACAATATAGCGGTTCGGGTTCGGGTTGTTCCGGAAAAAACACCGGTTCAATTCCGGTTTTCGGTTCGGTTCGGTTCCGGTTCGGTTCCGGTTCGACACCCTGATATATATATATATATATATATATATATATATATATATATATATATATATATATACAATAGAAAGCTTAAGGAACGCAGGAACTGGCTCATTATGTCCAAACTTGCTTAAGGTTTTCTTGGTTAATCGCCCAGTACTATCGGTTGAGGAACAATAACAATACTCAGGACACACAACACCCCCGGGGCCCTTGAGTTCTCACTTAGTAGAGCTGAAGACATTAGTATGCAAAATTAAATGATCTCACAGTTTAAACAAGCCTCGGCATCACGCCACGATTATTGATGTTGACGGATGTGAGTTTTTGTATTTCATTCGGGGCCTCATTTTAATATTAAAGCTTCCGGCGTTTGCAGCAAGATAAAACTTCCGAAGTCTAGTTTACGCTTTGCCCCAGTATTATGAAAAAAATTTGTCTGTAAATTAGTGTAAAAAAAATTGACTTTTGTTTTAAATGCGATTACTTTTTCTTGACATCACGAACTAAATCCTTGTGTTCGCAGCTATATACACACCACGTACATTATCTTAAAACGTTTATCGCATTTGACACTTGAAAAATTTCAGAAATTATAGTGCCCGTAAAAGCCGCGGGTATTGTGGATGGACGAAGACCTCAAGACTTTGGTAAGTACGACACAAACAGGAAAACAAATTCGCACGTTGCCGTAACATACTTATTCATATGTAGTATACTGTATATGTTAATTAGAAGTATTTGTCGTTTTGGAAGTCCGTGGCATACGAGCTCACATTTGTGCATATCCCCCCCTCTCACTTACTCATACTGGGTGCACGTTATTCTGCTCGTTGCGCACTTCGTGCGTCTGTTTACTCCTAAAACGCGTTCACGTGCTTTTGTATCTATGCGACCTTGACCAATGACGCAAATAATCCCTGGAGAAGGGGATTATTATGCTTTGCACCTTTGCACTTATTTGCATTATAAACTCGACCAATGACGGTGTGTGCTTGGCTGCCTCGTCATGGCGCGTTCCATGCGTATTCTTTATGTTGCCTTTTGATTGCCGTGCCTCCGCGATGCATCTCGATGCGCCGAAGAAGCGTTTTGGAACAATTGCTCGCTGTATTAAACTCGCATGCTCACAAATGTTCTGGAATGTTAACTACCCGTCATTTCACCGTACATTGGCAAAGAGCGAACGTTAATTGTCTATCGAGGCAATCGAAGTGACTGAAGCGAAATACGTGACAGCTGTTTCCAAGGGCACAGGCGCTCTTTCCAAGGAAACCCAAGAACTTGTATTAAAAGAGTGGAAGGAAGTTTTCCTTTAGCCGAACTTTTCGGCGTCCCAGACGTCGCATTTCGTTTCACCCCCTAAAATTTTAGTCAATTCAAACTCGTACAACAAAAATGGTGTTTACGATTCTCTGTAGTGCGAAATTGGAGCGCAGCTCTTGAGGGGGAGAAGGGGAGGCTACGCCCCTCCTCTTCTTCCGTACTCTCTCCTCCTCCCCTCCTCCTCCCGTCCTTTTCCCCACCTCCTCTGCACCACCTTTGTTCCTCCTCCCATCCACCCCTCCTCCTCCCCACCTCCTCTCCCCTCATTGTCCTCTCCTCCTTTCTTCCTCCTCCATACCCTTCCCTCCTCCTTCTTTGGACCCCCCTCACCCACTCCTTCGTTCCGGCCCTTCCTTCTCCTCTATAGTCCCCGCCTCCCAGTTTCCCTGCTAAATTTAGCTGAAAAATTGACACCACGTGACCTCAAGACCAATTTAGTTTCTCGCTAAATTTCTAGAGGTATGTAACATCTCATACTTGGTGTCACGTCACCTATGAAGAAATTCAGTTTCTCCGCAAGATTTGTCGGGAAAATTGACGTCACGTGACCTCAACAGCAACTTAGTTTTCCGCTGAATTTAGCGGGGCGATTCCTTGCTAAATTTTAGGGTGGAATTGAATTGGTGTTAAGGTCACGTGCAGTCGAATCCCCGCTAAATTTTTCGGGGAATTGAATTGGTCTTGAGGTCAGGTGACGTCAATTTTCCCGCTAAATTTAGCGCGGTGCCGCCGAAGCCGACGGCGACTCCGCGAAACACGGAAACGGACGCCTGAGAGATGCGCTCGAAAAATGAAGGACGTTTACAAATCTTTGTAACGCGAAACTAGAGCGCAGCTCTTGAGGAGAGGAGGGTATAAAGAGGAGGACGTGCCCCTCCCCTTCTTTATACCCTCCCCTCCTCCTCTCCTCCTCCCCCTCTCCCCCGTCTCCTCTTCCCTCCACCTCCTCTTCCTTCCCTCCTTGTCCTCCTTTTGTCCTCCTCTCGTCCTCCTCTCCCCCTCCTGTCTAGTTCTTCCGCTATATTTTCCTCTAAATTTAGCGAAATTTCCCCGCTAAATTTAGCGAGTCAAGTTTCCCGCTAAATTTAACAAGTTAGTTTTCCCGTTAAGTTACCCCGCTTAATTCTAGGCTTAATAGAAAGCTACTAACAACAGCTTTTCAGCACGCATCGATCAGCTTCATAAACTTGGCATGCCGTTTCGTAGCACGAATCAATTCTTCGAGTTTTTTCCTTCCCAACACTCCATTAGTGTGGAATCATCTTGTTTGAACCATCCTCGAAAATGCCGGCAACGAACGTTTTCAAACTGGCATTACTAACGTTTTCGTAAACAGCCCCCACTAGAGGAGTATATGTAGACAGTTTGGCCGTTCATCGGGAAGTATAGGAGTCAAGTGAGGAGGCGCCATTGGCCGAAAGTGGGCTGGGCGTGTCCCCGGCCGTCTTAACTAATTCGAGTGTGGCCAACCAGGAGCCTGAAATAATACCCTGGTGGTGGTCTCGAGAAACGAAATTAATAAGTGCGTCGGAGTAAGTCTCGGTGACTGAAAATATTGTGAACGCCATGTTTCAATCATGGTCATTCAAAATCATGGTGGAAGAGCGCGACTAACGGAACGATCGTCATAATCCACACGCCAGGCGCCGACGGCCGAGAATCTGCCTTCCGAGCGGTCACACCCTGTCCGAGGAAAAACGAGTTCGAGCGTCAGATTTGTTTCTTTCATCTTTCTGCATGATCATAATCGAAACATCACGTTCATCCTATTTTCAAATATAAAATGGTGATCGGTGACTATATACGCTTATAAAACATAACGCTTATTACTGCACGCTTACGCGTTTATTAATACTATATACCTATTGTTAAAACTGTTTTCGCTACCACCTTAAGGGGATTCTTTTCGGTTTCTGGTTGGCCAAGAGAGCATGCCAAGCACTCTTTCTGCGCCTGGTGCACGCCATGGCTCTGCCCGCGCCTCCCATTGACCAAACTCTCTGTATACACGCCTATGGCCCTAACTACCGTATAATTATTTCAAAAGTATATATTTTTTCTTTTTATTGCGCTTTCTGATATCACCCACTCCCCAATGTAATGCAATTGGGGCCGAATGTAACTAAATAAATAAATAACAAAGTGTTACGCTGTCACGGGTCTTGAACCTTATGGTTTCGCAGCAGCGGGGGGGGATCTGGCAGGTGCTTGTTCTGCTGCAGTTCGCTCTCCAGCTCCACACTCCATGGAAAGTTAGGCGTCAAGGAGTTGCGACGCCATGACGACTGTGGTACTCGCGTGTTCTCTCGTGTCATGATGGCGAAATTAGACAGCTTGACACTCCAACCTTCGGGACAAAATCTGTTGCCACATTTGGACCCCTTTCATCGCATCTACGGAATGTGATGTTATCACAAGAGTCGGCGACCCGTTCCGGGCACCGTATGTACCTACACTCGGTGGCAGGCCATGGAAGCCCCTCCCACCTCTTTTCACTGTAGCGGAGCGAACACTGGAGGGGAAGTCGCCTCTTCTCCAGCGTTCGCTCAGCTAAAGTGAGCAGAGGTGGGAGGACCTTCCCTTGAACTTATACCCTGTCACTGACTGTAGGCTGTGCAGACCGTATATATGCTCAGAAATATTGAAGTGCTCGACGTAGTTCCCTCGAACTTCATGTTTTTTTTTATTTATTTTATACCAGTGTGTTCACCTTGCACCTTATATACAGGCGCCACAATGTAAATAAATTCTAGTGACATACTATTATTACCCATCAATATAAAACAAATATTAATACAGCAATAAAAATAATATTATCGCTGTTGCCCCAGAGCGTCTGTGCGTCGATGAACTTTTTGCAGATAACATGAATTCTACGCCACTCTTTTTAAATCTGCAGATAAGCTGGAGCATCACAAAATGTGGCTGGGAGTCCAAATGCTATATGATGATACGTTTGTACAGAGCAGCGTGAAACTTTCGGAAAGCACAAACCAATATCTTTTAGCACTGTTACAAGCTGTGAGTAGTTTTGAAACTCCTAATTTTTGTTTTGAATCCCGGTGGTGGAATGAGTAATTTTTCAGACCAAAATGATATGTGGAACATTGTTAACTCAGGCCATATTGAATTAGATTTTTTCTTTACAGGCTGAGTTAAGGTTCGCAAATATAATGGATCCTGTCATTGAACTAGTATTGACGAAAACAACCCGTGTGAGTATGCTGCCTTGTTGATTGCAGATATGTTTTTGAATATCTATCAAATGGGTAACAAGAGCTAGGGATCTTGGAATGCTGAGGATGTAGTTTGGCAGATAATAATTAAATAGGAATGGGTTGTTCTGCCTACTTCTTTCCTTAAGGTGCCACCTGCGCGTCTACGGGCATCACATTATGCCTATAATATTTTCCCTGGCTTTGGAACGCAAGGAGCCAACAACGGTACAAATAAAAAACACGACAGACACGGGCGGCGTTCGCGTCCGTGCCTATTGTGTCTTCTGTTTGTTCACTGTGGCCACTTTGCGCTCAAAAAACCAAGACATTTTTTTTATCAACATGCTCTTCTGCTTCTATGTTCAAAATATTTCCTTTGGTTTAAGAAGTAACTCATTGCTTTCTTCCATTGTCTATATATTAATGGCAATTATGTAAAATTACAAAAAGCTCTTTTTCAGGGGTTGCATGGGCAGCTTGGAACCCTTTCAGTGGGTACAAACTAAAATTAAACGTTAAAAATAATATATATATATATATATATACAAATTCAAAATTAAAATCTTTACTTATTTCTCTCTGTTTGAAGAAGAGAGACAAAAAAAAAAGAAGAAAACTCTGCTACTGCTTGACGAGTCTCGGCCTCTCCACAGCAGCGGAGAGGACACAATGTAAATGTACGCAATCTTTTAGCTAAATTACTCACGACAGAATAAATAAACAAGACATGGTAGGGAGGAGGAAGGAAAACGACTGAACCAGATTCTAGAGATTGACAAAATGCACGGACACTCACAAAACAAAAACGACACCTAAAATATCGTCGCAAGATCGAATCATAATGTAGTCTCAGAATTCAAGTTCCTACTTGAGAGTACATCTTAGCACTGCAATAGGAACATTATGAATGTCTTTATGAATATTGCGGAGGAATCGAGTATCGGCGTTAGGTTAGCCGAAAGTACCGAACTTTGTATTTTATATTGCTGCTCACTCCATCTGGTCAGGACAAGATGGGTGAATCTAGGGAAGTCGTTTGGGATTTTGAAGAGTTGGACAAGCCAGTCTTCACAACAAACGTCAAGGAATCAGAAATGCTATGAAAACCAAACTTGTTCACAAGGAAAAGAAATCACGTGTAAAATTTTCTGAGGGCAGATAACCCAGGATAGTGTAGTTTGGTGTCCTTTGACGTTGAGGACATTTACTACTCGATCCTTCATACTGAGTTGATGCGGGCCGTAGATGAATGTATTGAGTCCAGCGGGTCCGTTGCTTTTATGAGCACCAGCGGCATTTCGGTTGACTCATTTTTGGAGCTCCTGCGGTTTTACCTCTACGCCACCTATGGTACCTTTGAGGATGACACCTTCTGGCAGCAGAGTGGATTTTTTATAAGTTATAACGTTGCACCAATTCTTAGTGTTATTTACCTGGCGAGCTGTGATCAGACCATTAATGAAAGGGTGGGTGATTGTGTCCGGAAAGTGTTCCGATAGATAGAAGATTACCTTGTGGTGCTTGTTCCCAATCCGAACGATGACCGTGATCGCGATGCTTTTGATATTTTAGGCCTCTTTAATGAATGTTCTGCCGGTTTAAAGTTTAAGGTTGAAAACCCCACGGGCGAAGCTTTGCAATTTTCGGACTTGATATTTTGCCTGGAGGCACGCCATGTATGTTGGTCCTGTGAAACTCGGTTGAGGAAGGGACCTTTGCCGTTTGTCTCCGCGCACTCCAAACTGGTGAAGCTGGCTATAGCGGTGTCATGTGTACGATACCGTTAACCATGTCGTCTCACCACAAGTGCGAGAGCAGTCTTCAAACGCAGGCTGCTAGGCTGATCTCATCAGGCTTCCTTTTGGGGTCATTGTGGGCATTGCTGAGTCTCTGCTAAAAAGTTCCAGGGCCCTGCTGGCTCTCAAGTATGACAAAAACCGGCGTCGAGACCAGAAGCCAGATTCACGAAACGATCTTACGCCAAACATGTGTGTAAGGCAAAACGTAAGAACAAATCGGTATTCACAAAACAAACCGCGATTAAAAATAAATATGTCTAGATGTACAGGTATCGGGAAGACTCTGGACGAATAAACACCATACAGATTGACTCTCTACAGCAAACTGTAACCGGTCTTGAGTAAATTAATATGAAACAAACAGCAAAAATTACTGAACTTGAAAGCAGGAGTCGCTGTTCAAACCATGTAATCCATGGTATCCCCGAAACGCCTAAAGAATCCGGTAACCAATTAAAATGAGAAGAACACGTTGACCTTTTTCAAGACAAACAAGACGTTGCGTGCTCTGTGCTCGGCCGTGGCGCTTGCTCAAAAGCTTGGAAACGTGGCTCCAAAAAACCGATTGTTTAATACTTTCAGGATAACAATGAGAAAACATAATTTCTTTGGAATGCTAAAAAAAAGTTAAAGATTCCAAGTTGTTTATGAACAATGATGGAAAATACTGTGGGAGAGCGCAAGACGCGATAAAGATAAAGGTGCCCGTGCTCACCTATTCATTTGTTGATTTGCTTGAAGAGAATGACAGAGTATTTGCATGGGACGAAAACAAAAATGCACGCGCAAGTATTTTAATCACGATAAAAATCCCCCCTTCTAACTTTCTTGAACCTCATCGTAAATAGTTTCGACTTTCGAACTTAAATGCACAAAGTGTTGTAAAGAAACCATACGCACTTCAATCTATGCTTCTTATGCATGACCCGCCTGTTTGTGTCATAAACGAAAGCTGGCTTACCGATTATATTAGTGTCGGAGAGATATTTCCGGATCAGTACACCGTATTTCACAGAGATCGTGACGAAAGGGCTGACCGACTGGCTGTTTTAATTAAACCAGGCATTGGAGTGGCTCAGAAAACCCAAATAAAAAATCATGACAGCTTGTTTTTTACGCCTCAACTGTCGCGGTAACGCTGTTATCCTTTGAGCTGTTTATCGACTCCCCTCTGGTACTCCTGACGCATTCTGCAAATTATTTGACCATTTGTTTAAATTTAGCAGCCATAAAAAATCTGGTTAGTGACTTATCCGTTGACAGGGCAAATATGTGTGGTTCATGTTCTGCAACAGAAATCATTTTTGATATGGTGCTCGCCTTTCATCTGACGCAATTAGTTACGGATCCAACCAGACTATGTCGTGCCGGTCACTCCATTCTTGATCTTGTTTTCGTAAACAATTCGCTTTCTGATGTCAGCATAACTGTTTGACAGCATGTTTCACCTTAAAAAAGAGATATACATTCGCCTTTCAACGACTTTTTTGAGCTGACGGAACTAGCATATTGACTATCTTGACATCAACATTGATAATTGCACTTATTCAAGTTCTGAGGTATTTTGGCTGCAATGTAAGCACTTATGTAAGTGCTTCCATGACAAATTCCTACCTACAAAATTCAAACGTATTAATCAGGATAATTAGTGGATTAATAGAACAATCATATATCTCAAGCGAAGAATAAAACGAGCGAAAAAATAATGGCCGATTAATCGTCAGGTAAAATAAAACCTCAGGGCGATTTTCGTACCCGAAGTTCTGAGGCTAGGAAAAAAATATTCCTTTTGTACGCCTCTAAACGTTTTTAAACAGGACCCTCAAAAAATTTGGCACCACTTGACTAAAAAAAAAAACACGTTGAGCAAATTATGGTGAATGATGCTGTCTCCACTGTCCCTGGTGTTATAGAGTGACATTTCAATGAGTATTTCAGTCGGTATTGTTCGATAACTGTACCCATGATATGAAATTTGTACCGCATTAAACTGTCACACCGAGTTCATAACTTATTACGGCATAGTTGCTTTGCTGTTGTCATTGAAAACGAAAACAACTGCTGGTTCTGATAAAATTCTAAACACGTTTCTACGAAGCTAAGCTGAGTCCCTCGCCCATTTCCTTTTCATTGTGTTTCGTACATAATACTGAAACACCTCGCTGCCAGAACCTGGGCACAAAAAAGGGGATTGCCTAGAAGTTCAAAACTACCGTCCCATTTCCTTGATTTCTTTTTTATGTAAGTTTATAGGGCATATCATCTGCGGTAAAATAAATCAACTGCTGGCAGCCGTAATTTCCTAACAGAGTTTCAACATGGCTTTCGCAACTACGACCAAACTCGTTATTAGCGTCCATGAGTTTGCGCAAATCTTCGATAGGGGAAGTCAAATTTAAGTGCTTTTTTTGGACTTCAGCAAAGCTTTTGATAAGGCGAATCATGAACAATTGCTTTTTAAACTTGAACAACTTGGTCTTCCACATGATGTTGTTGGCTGGATTGCTGCATAGTTATCCCATCGCAGAGCCTGGTTCCGTCGTAGGCTGTATCTCTCCAGTTCCGCCTGTAACGTCACGGGTTCCCCAAGGGAGCGTTTTAGGTCGTGTTTGTTCCTGGCGTATATAAACGATATTGTATCAATGATTGACGCATGTGTCCAAATACGTATTTTTGCCGATGATTGCATTATTTTTAAAGAAATAATTTCGAGCTGAAATCAGTTATTGTTAGACCATAATGTGCAGTCCATTGTATCATGATGTGATAGCTGGAAAAGGAAGCTTTATTCTGTTAAATCAACACTTTCACGTATTACCAGAAAAAAAACCTTTGAATATATTTATAAAATCGCGGACACCCCGGCTATTGTGAAGAGGGAACGCAAATGGATTAGTTTATTATATCGGACACACTTTCATGGTCTCCTCGTATACAACATATTTGTGCCTCGGTATCCAGGAAGATGAGTTTCTTTAGGAGAAAGCTGAAAGACGCTCCGATTCATGTTCAGCTACATGCTTATTATTTATTGGCCAGATTCAAGTTGGAGTATGCAAACTTTATGTGGGATCTATTTATTCAAAAAGACATTCGAAAGTTGAAGATGGTGCAATGTCGAGCGGTTTGTTTTCTTTACCAAAAACGTACAAGGCTAGATTGACCGTATCAATTTATACAGGCTAACAGAATGCACAG